CGGAACTAGACTCATTCGCTCGCGCCGCAAGCAGCACTGCTATATACATATGTGTGCTGTATGTACCGTAGGATCCGGGTACGTGATTTTGCCGCGGCTGAGCATGAATTGTTGACCCACATTTTCTGCATTTCTGTCATGGTCTCGGCAGGTCTCGGGTGGGAGACCCGAGACCTCGGCATCCGAGACCAAGACTGAGACCAGCCCTCCCGAGACCAAGACCAACCCTCCCGAGACTCTTGTAGGCCGAGACCAAGACCGAGACCTCAAAAAAAGGTCTCGAGACCTCCAACACTGATCCCCGCGTGAATACAAAGCTTCCATCTACTAAACAGACACAAGGTACACATAATCAGGAAAACACACTTCTTGAAATCAATCTGAAGAGACACCATCACTGAAGTGGCACTAGACTTTGTGCAAAGACAGCACATATAAACCCTGAACAGGTGCTGTTTATTTTGCCAGGTTGCAGCATCTGCTTTGTCAAAGAGTCACTTAATGCGCAACCCGTGGTGGCTTCCAGTCACCAGACTTGACCGCACTGCGCACACTGTTTCTCCTAGTTCAGATTGTGGCATTTGTTTCTCCTGGGGTACACGTTCTTAATGGACCACACATGCAGCCCCATTCAAGGCATTAGAAAAAACCATGTCTGGAACAATCACTAGAGCTGTGGTGAAGGTTTCAAAACTTGAATATGCAGGCCACTTCCCTGCCTACGTAGCGATGCTCAGGAGAGCTCTTGTATGCTGACGTATGGTACATGTATATGCAAAATAGTATGGGTGCATTAACCAGCCCCATTGCTGGCTTCAGGCATTTAGGGGGCCACAGTATCAGCTAGGGGGACACAGAGATAAGAAAAGTAGATAATTTTGATGCTTATGGTTTTTGCCGAGGGGGGGGGACTGGTTCTTCCAGGATCCGCCAGCCCCCCTTGATGATGGGCCTGTAGTGAACTAATCAGCACAGTCCCAGCAGCATGGGGGCAGCATAAAAAGTTTCCCCAAGATTCTAGAGGGAAGTCGAGCAAATGGACTCATTTTAATTCGGGGGGTTTGTTTTTTTTTGCATGCGTGAATGCTTTCTGTTGGGATATGTCACCCCCCAATGAGCCCCGAGCTGGACCAAGAGAGGGCGCAATTTCCGCAGCAAAGCAGGCTTCATTGGTAGGAACTGCACTTTGCTGGTCCACTTACAGTATAAAAAGTTTGCGTTACAGTCACATCGTTACTTACAAAATGAGCACTCCCAACCAACATGGCTCTTTTCTACTGTTGAGGGGTTGCTTCTGCTCAAAGCAGATACATACACTGCCCTTGTGCGCCGGGCAGGGAACTCAATGGGAAATAGTCTAAGCAGTGGACCACATGTATATTTCTCCCCATTTGGTTGGATGCAGTGTTCTACAATGAAGTGGTGGACAGCATGCAACGGACCCTGGAGGAGAACATCAAGCTGGAGAACCTGATCCTAGAGATCAACTCCTCCAAGTATGCCTACAACGTGTCCATGCGGGAGCTGGTGCAGCTGGTGGTGAAGGCCGTACTGGAGATGCCCCACTTGAAGTCGGCCGAGCCCCTGCCGGCCGCGCAGCTGGTGCCCAGACTCACAAAGGTCACTTGAAGTGTCTGATGACAAGTCCTTATTGAACCTGTCACAGGACTTAGCACTGAAAAGTTCTCATTGGAAAATGGCATTGAAAGGTCCTTACCGACAAATATTGCTCCAACATGAAATTGGGCAAGAGGATTTGGTGACATTTGAATATAATGGTCCCTAAAACCACTTGTACAAATTCAACATTCTGGACTATGTTTCATTTAAATGAACATTTCTTTTGATCTCAGAGTTGGTCCTTCAAAGAGAATGACCTCCCACATATCATCGAGCAGTTGCTTTTTTGATGTATTGAATTTCTCATAGTTGGGGCATCGTGCATGCTGATCACAGGACAATTAATGCATGGAAGACCTGATTAGATTTAAATTGTCTTGTGTCACTCACTGTAAACCTTTCAGCTAAGGATAAAATCCAGTGGTAATCAAGTTTGCATGTACTTCGAATCCAAGCTGTTGATAGCAAAGGTCAAGATTCTCAATGTGCACTCACCAACCTTTGCAATAACGCAACCTCATCTGAAATTGACAGCTAAAAGGATCCTGAGGAAATCTTCCCCCAGACAGCCGATAGCTGTTTTATTTATTAAATTCATTCTTTTCCTCCTTGCTTGTTTAGTTTTGCGGTGATTTTTTTCATCGTCGTCTTTCCTTTGTTTGGCCACAGCTTGTGAATAAGCTTCTGCCTGTACTCCAGAACTACATCAAGAATGCAGAATCACAACTAGATTGCCTGAATTCATTGGAGGTCGGTATGAAAGAACCGTGCAGTATGACAAACATTCTCTTAACTTGTGACACCATACACTGGCATGTCTCTGATGCTATCTACAAATGGCAAATGGCACCGTCATGGTGGTGCCTTGCGCTGGGCTTCTATAAGAATAGGCACGGATGACAAACCAAAAATCCTTGTGCATGTCTACCGTGCGGGATGCGGAGACCGATCAATAAAAAGTTGTGTTTGTTTTTTCATAAAGGCGTTCCCTTTTTTTTTTATTTTGAGCGAAAGTTTTTGGTTACAACCTCTCCCCTCCCCCACAAAACAGAACTGGGAACCTGCCATCTCCAGTCCGATATTGGGTAGGTGTGTACTCATCACAGCTCTAGAATTTGTGATTCAGTGCTACCGTTATCACTGATCTCTCCAATGTCTGATTGTTTAGTGACTTTGCACATAGCAAGCTTTGACTGGTAGATAAAGACTTTGATATTTTTTTATTGGATCTTTACAGAGGGAAACAAATGTATTGCATGAGCTGGAACAATATTACATGAGTCAAATATGAGTGCAGAATAGTCACAGTGGGTGCAATATACTCTTCTATCCCCCCCCAAAAAAGGCATCTCATATTATTATTGTTATTTATATCAGGCTGGCGATTTAATCAGAGTGAACTAAGTTTGATCACCAAGTTCAAATCTGTCTGGTTCAGTTCAAAGCACACTGTTCACTGGTTAACAACTGTGATTCTCCATGGTCTTGACTGATAGGGAACTAGCACCATTGAATTTTGAGTACCATATGACAAAATATATTACCCAACCTCCCCAGGAAAGCTTGGGTGCAGATGAATAGGCTCCAGTCTGGCTCCGGTCGCTTTGCAGCCGACATGAAAAATTAGGGCACTGTGACCTCTGCCCATATGGTCAAGTCCAGACTCAGAAACATGTCTTGTCTGAGTGTGATATGACAGGGCTTCCCTGTCCATTGTCACAAACCGACAACCCTCAAGTAGTCACATGCATGTACCTCACTAACTGCCATTTTTAAATGCTGTAGTTAACATTATGATTTATAATAAAATTCATTGCCGCCCTCTGAGTACATTACGCTGATTTAGTTTTTGTGCCAGGAAGCCTGATACAAATATTAATCACACAGCCATTCTTGGCACTTGCCTTAACAGGACTATTGTCTCACCAGCAAAGCAACAACTGCCGCCCTTCCCAAGTTACTGCTGCAGTTCTACGAGGCAGATGTGCTCAGCGAAGAAGCCATACTCCATTGGTACAGCAACACACCGTCGTCAGATGACGCCGTCGCGAGTGCCAGCAGAAAGCAAATCCGAACTCAGGTGGGAACGCACTCTCTCATCACCATGGTTTAACCCTCCTGCTGTCAACAAAAAATGTACTGCTATGCTCAAAACTCAAGAAAATTTTTCAGTCTCTCATATGTGATGAAGGGCTTTGGAGTGCTAAAAACCATAGCAGTCACATTGCAGTGTCCTGATTTGACCACAAAGCAGAATGTAAACATCAAAGATTTCAAGTCCATGCTCCTTGTATTCAGATGGAACTCATAAGTGCATAAGGGTTCATCTCAGACTTTGGAACATTGCTGTTCCTACTGAAACTCCTTCAATGATGACTGTTTCCAGTGGGATTTTGCTTTATTCCCACTAAGATCACGTCATACTCAAGTCAGTGTGGCACACATAGACCATACACTCCCGTACCGATGTGGGGACATACACTCAACATTTCGCCTATTTTGTGGGGACTCAGAAATGTCCCCACAACTCGGCTCAAATTTCCCCGACAAAAGAACTTGTCCCCTGAACGCTGTGAATTCCTACTTACTGTTCCCATTCGGGAACATGCATTGTTCTGAGAAGGAACAGCTGGTGTTCCCAGTTGGAATAAGCAATGCTCGCGCTGGGACATTTGCAAGTATTCCAAAACTCCAAAACTGTGTAGCTTTCATGTGCAGGGTTGACTTGATGTAAAAAAGAAAATATGTGCATAAATATTCCTGGTTGCAACCAAGTACCCTCTTCACTTTATGATAGGCCACATGTATAGTTTGTTTGGAGCCACACATCTAGTGTAATTCTGATTGGATGCTCTTGATATATTTCTCTTGCAGGTCCAGCCGTTCATCAAGTGGCTGCAGGAAGCGGAAGAGGAGAGTGACAGCAGTGAGGAAGATTAGTTATCACGGCACCAGCTAGGTCCCCACGGAAACCAGTTTCCATGGCAACCGATCTTCCTCACTGCACAAGACTCCATGCACGGGCAACTGCCACATATCAGCTTGTCACCATGGCAACCAGTTTCGAAGGCAACTTTTCTGCACTGATCAAAGACCCCAGGACTGGTTTTTTGTTAAATGACAAAGTGCTGCGTACCAGCTAATCACCACGTCAACCAGTTTCCATGGCATCTCTTCTTTATCACACGTTCCCAGAGTCTGGGAATTTTTTCCAATTAAATACAGGCATATGAAATGCAGCAATTTTTGACAGTGGGCAAAAACAAAGACAGCAGAATTCATGTGTTCCTGAGCAAGATTGCTTACTCCAATGGTCTTACTCACCCACGAGCCCCTGGTGATCACTTTTCTTACCCCACCTCTCTGTGTTGCCAGTGGGACAGGATACTAGCATAAGAATCAACAGACTTCATGTGTTCCTGAGCAAGATTGCTTACTCCAATGGTCTTACTCACCCACGAGCCCAGGTGATCACGTTTCTTGCCTCACTTCTCTCTGTGTTGCCAGTGGGACAGGATACTAGCATAAGAATCAACAGACTTCATTTGATGTTGAGATCTCCGAGGACTATTGTAGAGCTATAAAGTGGATTGACCAAGGGCTTCGGCCCATACACATGTGCAGGGGCTTCTTAAAGTAAGTTTAGCGCACTTCTGGCCTTGTGGGATGACTGTTTGCATTGTTTTTGTTTGAAATATACCTCAGTCCAAAAGAATCTACAGGACATATAAATACCAATGCCAATAAAAGTTAGGTTGGAATGATCCATGAAATGTTGTTTTCACAACTCTTCATTTTTGAAGGGAACACGACAAATACCACTCTGCCATCGCGCATCAGATGGCAGCCTTGGGCAAGTTATCGATTCTTCTGAACCAAATGGAAATAACAAAAAGATGCAGTTCTTGGTTAAAGTAAACTCCATGAAGACACTGGGGCAAGGACCGACACAGCGGCATTCATTTCAAAGAGTTTCAGTTTGTTTTTGTCCCCGGTGACGTGATTGTCCCCAAGTTTCACAGCTGGTACAATAAATAGATAAGAAAAATAATAACACTTGTAAATAAGAACTCCTCCTTGTTCCCTTTGACAACTGTCAACACCTCTCACCAACATGATCAGCACCTGTCTGGATTTCTTAACTTCCTTACTGTCATAATGATCGCCCTAATTATACATGCACACTACACAGAGGGTATTAAACACTTAACAGTGTATTGATTGACACCACATATACACCGCATGGCATCAAACGGAGCACTAAGTTTGGTTTTTACTTACTGGACAAGTACTGTCTTGGAACCATACACAAGAGTAACAAAGGTTTAACTTTGCCTCTGGAGCCACTTCAGCGATTCGAAACACAGACAGCCTACTCCACTGGCAGTGCCAAAAATCATTGTCTGCATTCACTTGATGCACACAAGGTTTTCTACACTCGTGTAGCCCTTCCCCAATCAGTACTCACTTTAAACTAGGACACGTCAACTTGGCAGTTGCAGTTGCTGTAAAACTGCGGCAACCTGCTAACTGCACTTACAAAAGCTTTCTAAATGTAATCAGTGTTGGTGTGGTACCAGATTGTGTGGTTGCCACAATGATGGCATGGATTGAGAGGTGATAAAACAGCAGCGCAACAGATGTTGACACAGCATCTTCTCACAAAATGTTTGAGGCACACTCAACCACCAATTCCTAAAATAAATCAGTAAATAAAACACAGCCTCATGACCATCTCAAGTTGTACACTTCTGCAGCTCCACCACTAACTCGTAAGCTCTACAATATGTTATTGCTTCATCAAAGTAAAAGTTGTTTTTTGGTGGATTAGTTTCTTTGGTTAGTACCAAAACTGTTACACTGCCCTCTGGCAGACAAGGATCACTGCAACCCAGAGCTGTGTAGACAGAGTTGCGACATGAGTGTCTCAATTCTTGGAACCAAAATGGTGGATTATGCATCGGTGCACATGGACAATCGGCACACAACAGCTGCGTGCTCTACTGCACGCATACCAACCATGTTAGTTCCAAAGATGGCACTACGCTTTCTGTATACAGCTCTGCTACAGCCTGTTCCATGCTGCTTGGACTCTGATTAATTTTAAGTCCATGTATCAAAGTGCAGAGGTGGAAGATTTCAGAATGGAATAAAAGAGAAAAGATCTCCTGACCTACAAGATGGAGCATATCAACTATAAAGTCTCCACGGGGGGAATACACCACATGATGCCAAACTTGACAAAAACTGACAGAGCACTTTCTACAGCAATGTTCCATGCCTTACTTTATACAGTTATGGAATGGAAGAATACATGTACATTATATATTCATATGTTTAGTAAAGAACACATTTTCTATATGAATTTTAAGATTTCAAAATATACACTACTCATACAGAGGCAGGTAAACAACTTATTTGCGTGAGAAAATATTGCAAATTGTATGCAGAAAGTTAATTGTATGTGATAGATTTGTTTGTAGGTTTTTAGCTCCTTTGGTTTTGCTTTGTTACTGCAAGCAAGTGCATGAGACTGAAGACAAAATGAACACATTCACAGTTACATCTTTAAGCTCACTTCTAATGGAGTAAATGTTAGTCGGTCTTCTACAAAAGATCTATTTTGTTTCTATTATGAAGCAATAATGAAACAAGTACCATTTGGGCATCATACAAATAAAAGAAGCCTTATTTTCTCTTCCCACAACTTGCAACAAAGACACTCATCAGTAAAAAGGAACTATTTGAAAAATATTAAACAAAGCTTACTGACATTTAAGATTTTAGCTTACTCAGTAAAAAATACAGAATGTCACTTATGGAAGGCACTTCTTTTGAAATAACTGTATTCAACACATAAAATAGTTGATACTACATGTACATATACATTCACTTCCACAAGTTCCAAACTCTACCATTATTTTCTGTAAATGTTTTAATGATATTCGTAGGCTAATTAGAATAAAACTCCCCAAAATTAAAATAAACATACACAACAGACAAGCTGGCCACTGCCAGCCAAAACAGATTGATATGTAAAACAAACCCAAAGAAATAGACCCAAAATATTGGGTAAACTGAGCTCTTCCTACCAATTTCTCTTTGCAAACCATATTCTCTTGTCTGTTTCAATCATTTCTGGCCCCAATTATAACAAAGGGAACCCAATCGGGAAGGAAGCAACTCGATGACCAGTTCTGGAATTAATCAATGTCCAATGGCAGAGCCATCCTTCACATGATTAATATCAAATAGCATTGCTTTTTCCACCTTTGATTCAACTCCTTGATTCATTTTGCTTCAAGTGGCTCGGGACACTTTTTTCGCCAATGAGAAACCTGTCACACACTTTACTGCTTACAGCATCATGTCACACACCTGTCGTTTCATCTTTTTGACTGCCGCTTTATCCATTTTTTTTACAAGCAGCACAGTACCTCAAGGGTGTGCAAAACTATCCGAGACTTTACAGCACACAATGAGCATTCTTATACGTATCATGTTTCTCCCTAATGTTTTAGTGAACGGGGGTGTACTTTGGTGACCCCAACCAGAACGTATGGCATCAAAGCAACAACCACAGATATGTTTCCGATGGCCCACCAAAAGGATATAACAGGGAACATTCTTCACAAACATAATTTTCACTCAATAACTGGCAAGTTTCTAATGATCGCTGCTCTCTCTTGCACATACCAGTAGAAAGTAGCGCGTTTGGTTTGCTGTGTGCGGCGACAAAGTTTGGGGGCACACAATTCTCTTATTTTTTGAGACGATAAATTACGTTCTAATCTTCTGCTATTTTGGACCAGTGGTGAAACAACTCCAGTACTCGATTTGCATTTTAGTGGAACGATGATGTCACGCAGGCACGACTGCAACCCCAAAAACACTCAACCAGTGAAACATGTTTCTGGTCAAGGTAGCAAGAACGATTTGGTCGTTAAAGCAGTAAAGTACATCAAGTGTATGCCAAACCTTCAAAAGGTTTACTGATGCAATGAAAAATTCACTACCACCTTGGTTTAATAACACTTTTAATAGTCATTATGAATACAGGGCACAAGACAACTTTTGGCCTGACTAGACTGTTGCCAATATACGTGTACATAAAACACTTGGTAATGATGTCATGTACAGTTTTTAATGCAGGTAAAACACTGAATGGAATGCTATGACTAATGTGAAAGCCACTCTCTGTAACAGCAAGCAGGGCCCAATTTCACAGAGCTGCTGAGCAAACAAACTTTGCTTTGCAAAATTCCATGCTGAGCTGAAATCTGTGTTGAACCAGTCAACAGCAATATAGATTGCATGCAACACCTTGGCTGGTAACCTGGTCCTGCTGAGCAGGTATTACATTTGCTCAGCAAACAGTTGTATCGAGCAGCTAATGTAAAAGTTGGTCCGAGTGAGAGTACAAAAAGTAGCCACGAAAACACAGCGTATAAATCCTTATTCCCGGAAGAGCAAAAATATTCTTCAAGCAGTTTAGTGAGGTCCTGTGCTACTTTTGATCACTACTGGCAACATGCAGCATGGAAGTGTGGCACGTCAGAAACGTTCGCGCGGCCTGTGCTCTTTAAAGATAGCCATTCATGCCATTGACCATTGTCTTCTTGCCCACTGTCTCAATGTGGAATCCAAGCTCCAGTAGAAAGTTGTGGTCCAGGATCCGTCGGCCGTCAAAGGCAAAGGCTGGCTTGAGCATGCTGTCGTAGACCAACTGGTAGTCCATGGCCTGACAGGAAAGGACAACATGGAATTTATCACCTCCTCGGAGTCCGTTCAGCAATATTGGTTTTCCGAGAATTCCCAGTAATTTTCAAATAATATCTGATATGCTACTGGGACATGTATGTCCAATAGCAACAGACCACGCATCCTAAGGCGACATTCTGATTTACAACCTCAATGGCCTCCCACATTCGCTACAGTGCGAGTCTGCATTTTATTGAAAATGGAATTGCAATAGAAAAAATGTCAGGCCTCCCTTCAGCAAATCTCACTTCAAATGCACAATCTTTCAGTTACCTTAAATTCGTCCCATTCAGTACATACAGCAAAGGCGTGGGTTCCTTTGATGGCCTCATAGGGATTGTCGAATATAGTCACAAGGCGATCCACTGGGGACAAAATCAAAATGGCACTTGGATAAACATGAGACAGACACATTTTGGGTATCCCGACAAACCTGCAAAATAACATCTGCTTCATTCTATTCCAGACAGCACATGCTATGAAATATCTGACTGAAGAAACACAGTGCATTAACAATGAGAATCCACTGTCATTGCATCATATTTTGTTAGATGTTCAAAGTGAAATCACAGTTGCACAGCACAAGGGAATAGAACGGTGGCAAAATTATAAGTAGTCCATGCACTAGCCAAATATATCAATGGCGTAAGTTGAAAAACAAATTGGGTCTACCGGTCTTTGACAAATGTACATTTAATGAGAATGGTTTGTGTAAAAAAACTGGTGTCAAAACGGTTGCAAGGCATTATGACGACATTGGAGAAAATGCACAGGGGGACAGAGATCTGCGCCCCCCCACCCCAATTCTTTGAGGGACAATCCATACGCTAGAATTCAAGCAGCTGCCATTTTCTCCACCGGGCAGCATTAATATTCATAAGGGCTGACCTTTGTCTGGGTCATCACAGATGCTTGGATGCTTCAGCTCACTCATGATCTGTTTGGGAACAACCTGTGGGTCATAGATGTTGAGTCTGGCGCCCTCTTCCATCAGGTATTTAGAGATATATATACTGGAGGATTCCCTACAATCAAACAAAATAGACGCAACTGTTGCTCACTTTAGGAAGAACTTTCACGTTACAAATCTGACCTGTGAGTAATCAATTAAGTTCCCTTTTACAAAACAAGCCTGAGCTCATTCCATAACTGTAACTGGTTGTCATAAAAATCAAGCAAAAACAGCCGTACCAAAACCTTAAAAAACCTTGTACACAATGTTAACCACTTGCTGCCAGGGGACCCGTTTTCAAGCACATAGGCTTTATACACGAAGCTGAGGAAGCTGTGCTCGGCACAAGAGACTGAGCTGCTGGGCATTACCGACATTTTTGCACTCTCAATAGTGGAGATAATCCAGCCTTGATTTGAAACAGTATACCACGGGTTTGGGCATTTAGTGTGAGCGGATTACTACCGGGGACAAAGCACTCCACTACTGCAGCGATGAGCCACACAGCACCGCTGCACGGCAATCTGGCCCCTATTGAAAAGAGGTCAGCAGCGCACTGTACCAGGTTCGTGAATAAAAGAAAGTTATATAACACCGCACAATCTGGGCTCTGTTTGCAAGGCTGCAGGCCTGGCTGAAATATTCAGTGCGTGCGTTGAGTGCGTGTACCCAAGAATCTCCATCAAATCTCACCGAGTGTCCCCCGTGTCCTTCTTGAAGGCAAACCCCAAGATTGCTATTTTCTTGTCGGTCACTGTGTTGAACAAGCAGTTAATGATCTTGCTGGCAAACCGCCGTCGCTGGTAGTCATTCATGGCTATTACCTGGAAACCCCCAAAAGAGAAAATGCTAACACATATCGGATATGCAATGTGACTTTTCCACCATTTGACACGCATCACAATATGGTAAATTTAAACTTCCTGAAGTTCAGTCAAATAATAACATATGGATTCATTCGATTTTTGATATTCATCAATTGCCAATGTGATATTAAACGTTCGCTGCATTTTTATCTGTCAAATTTATCTTTCTAAACACTGAAGTGTGTTTACACCTCCTCCGCATTGTGACACAGGAAACAACGTGAAGCGGTTAAAGCTAGTCTTGAGACAAGTCCTGGTCTTGGGAACCAAAATACTGGCGGCAACTTCACATTACCAGAGGCCTCGTAGCTGTTTTTACCTGGTGCCAATAGGCAGCCACTTGAGGTAGATTCAGAGCGTCGCATAAGTACACTAAATTCAGTACGTCCTTCTGGAAGCAACTCCCACCGAATCCTGCAAGGAAAACAAAGCATGTAAAGATTTTTTTTTTTTTCATGTAGGTATGAAATGAAAGTGACAATACAAACCTACAAATGTACAATCTTGACAAAGATTCAAGGGAGACGTACGACCATGTACACACTCTAGCCCGTCTCCACCTTCGAACAGCCTTCATTTGGCGGCTCACCTAGACTAGCTTGCAGGAACTTCGGTCCTATGCGGGAGTCTGTGCCCACGGCGTGGGCGACCTCAGATACATCGGCCCCCGTGACTTCACAGATTGCACTCATGGCATTGATGCTCGAGATGCGCTGAGCTAGGAAGGCGTTGGCAGCCTAAAGAGATTGGGAGAGGAATAAAAGTAAGGTGCCCCTTGCAGCACATTGGATTGGCAAATATGGAATACGGCAAAAAACACAGTACATTGTACAAGGGCCAGTATAAAAAGTCATGTTCCCCATGTTTCTCTGACAGCTTTCCAGTTTTGCCAAGTCTTGAGCTCTCCACAACCTCTTCTTTGTGGGCATTGGCATAATGGCTAAAACTGGATTGAAACCACAGAGTGATTTTTGTTTTGAAATAAAAATCAATGCCCATTTTAATGTCAAAACTAACGGGTAGATTTTGTTCCTTTAGCACAGAAAGGGACTATCAACGTGAAGTGCTCTACTGTTCCACTCAAATAACAGCCTGCCTGCTGATTCACGTTTAGAATGTTTTCATGTGTTGAAACACTGGCAGAAACGTTAAACCACTGGGGAAACGCTGTTAACGTACCCGGTACCAATAGCTCACCCCTTTACTTTTATGTGTCAGATGTGACCAGATCCCACAAACTGAGCCTAAGGGCCATTTTTCCTACCCACCAAGAACTTTGTTTGGATTAAAAGTCTGAGTTTTGGAATTCTGGTCAAACTGGACTGTGACCAATTGGACTTTCTTTCTGAGGAGAAGAGATGGGAGGGGGAAAGGAACCGGTAGATAAGGTGGGTGCTTCACATCTCAGGTTTAAAAAAAATCTTAAGGCTAATACAAAAGAAACCAAAAACCCTCACCAGTTTGGAAAGTTCTGATGACCAGGTATTGGTGAGAATGATCCTTTCTTTCGTAATCCAGTGTTCATAGACACCGGCCAGCTCTTTCATAGCCTGGCGCCCCAGCTTGGACTCCTCACCACCAATCAGCACCCGGTCTGGGTTGAAGAGGTCCTTGACGGCTGTGCCTTCGGCCAGAAACTCTGGATTGGACAGCACCTTCACAAAAGGCAGACACAAATAGGATTTAACCAGACATGGCCTGGTCTCGAGGGGGTCATTGGAAACTGAGGGTTCTGCTGGACAACCCAGGTTTGGAATGAACCAATAACTTCGACAAGGAAAACAAATTAACTATAGACTGTGCCGGTGTGTTTTCCAGTGTTTTTTTTTTAATGATCACAGTCGGGTCTGGTTTCAAGGGCTTCTTGCTACAATGTACAGTATGGTACCTGTACCTCCGGTAGGCCTGGACTGTATTTCAGTATTAGCAAATAGTGGGTTTTTTTTCTAATACTGAACGATCCCAACTAATGATCCATAATACCCGCAAACTCAGTAAGGAATTTCAATATCGCAGCATTCTTGCTACAGTAGAAACTTTGCAGAACCCTTTTCAAGTATTAACCACCATTAATTTTGGATTTTTTTCTTTACCCTGCCTGACATGTATTTAACACTGTATAACCAGTGTATGCCGACGAAGGCTTGTGAAAAAACCACATGCGCACTCAGGTGGGACTCGAACCCACGACCTCCTGCTTACTAGTGCAGACGTCTTAACCAGTCGGCCACCGAGCTTGCCGCATAATTCATTCCTTTCTGTGTGGTTGACAATGACTGGTGTTTATTAACCTATCACATAATTTTTGGATTGATAAATGATAATTATCCTTTTAAGTTTAGGTGATTTTTCCAAGGCTGACAACAACCTTCAAGTGAATGTTGGCTTACTGCTATTTTTCGATGGTGTAATCAGGGCCCATTCCAAAGAATACCACGGAATCAGTAAATTTTGTGATATTCTGGTTTGCTGTGTGTTTGTAATGCATTAAGTTGTTCGTTTTTTTAGTTTTTGTCTTTTTTATGATGAATGAGTCACAAATTTTAACTAATTCACTCATTTTATGTGACTGATGAATTAAAAATTGTCTATAGTGTTATCTGTTTTAAGTTTTCCTTATTGAATTTTTTCAATTGTACAATGCCAACCTTGCGGCTGATTGCTATTCAAAACATTGAATCAACCACAGTGATAAACACATTTACATGCCCTCCAGCATAAGCAGGAATAGAGAAATGTGTAAGGCCATTCAACTACACAGGCACATAAACATGTACATATGTAGGTTTAAAGACACCCTGCACCTGTACACATAACAATTCCAAATCTCCTTTCACCAATGCAAATATTTTGTCCCAAATGGAATCCAGCTCAACGGGACACACAGAGAGAAGTATTTTCCGTGGGAGCCATCCCCTACATGTACAAAGCAGACACATGCTGGGTAGGGCTGGGTTGATTCTGCTCACACAATGAGTACACGTTCTGTTCAATGCTGAAGGTTATTAGACTTTGCTAGCCAGACGAATTTATTGTTGCTGGATCTCAAGAAGCACCCAGTAAACTGTTATGTTCATATGAGATTTTTTTTTTCGGGGGATTTTCTTTTTCATCTGTTATTTGCCAGCACATGTACCGGTACATTTGGCTCAGAGCAGTGCGAGTGAACAGGGCTGACTTTACCTACGTGAGGCCTTGATATACATGTATATACCGGTACCGGTACATGTACACGTAAAGTGTTATACAGCAGAAACTCAGGAAGAAATAGACGATTTTTTTTTTTAAGGATAAGAGAAAATGCAAACAAAGTGTACTGTTAGGTGAAATTTTATTGTCACAAAATCCGTTCTCAACATCCACCTGCCAATCACAATGACATGTGCATGTATTGTTGTTAATTTGAGTCAAAGATTACTGCATATTATTCCTTTGCTAATTAAAAGAGATTTAATTGTATTAGCAAGAATGTATGGAACTAGTAAGGACAAAAACAAAAAAAACGAAACGAAAAAAACATGATCTAATGGTGTGGAATAATTCACCGTTCCTTTTGTTAGTTGTGAGCAATAAAATAATTAAGAATAGCTGAACCAAGAAAATTCTACGGGACTGCCCGTATTTTGTGCATATCAACTTGTTGCCATGACCATCCATTCCATTCCACTACCTACCGGTACATGTCTTGCAAAGTTACTCATCCAAAAGAAAGTTGAAATCTCATAACACAGACAAATGTGCACTTTATCACAAAATGAAAAACCCTCAGAATTAAACAACCATCAACATCTTGGACCAAAAAAAATCGAGAACCAGATTGAGTCTGTAGAAAAAATACTGGTAGCACAGTCGGTCTCGGTCTTATGGACTTAGGTCTTAAGGACAGGATGCACTTCCCCCAGCATTCACAAAATGCTGGCAACCAGCAGATCTGCTACATGAAAACCACTCTCAGTGAGTGCAGTATACACCCGAGACCGACGGTGCTTACCAGTATTTTCAACAGACTCAATCAGTTTCGGGAATTTGTTTGTTTTTTATGCGTTTTTTTTTTTGGTCCATAGGCGAGTTTTTCATGAACCTTACATGTAAGGCTGGGATGAATTTCTTGAGAATTTCTTCATTTATGCATTATGCATGGGGGGGGAGGTACCTGTGTTCCCTCATGGTCTTGGAAAACTTGCTGTGAGCCCATGTTCCAAATACATGTAAATCAGCCAAGATACATGTACATACGTGTAAATGTTCCTGTCATGCCTGTTGGGTGTTCACTGCTCAAACATGTACTGGTTTCAGGTACTTATCTTAACCTGAATTCTCAATTGGCAACAGTGTGACACGTACATTTACCTGTATTGCAAGTTCATATCCAACCTCACATGCAGTACCCAATGCAGTGCTAGAGTTCAACACTGACGCTCTTTGAAACCCGACCGAGCTAAAACCAGAATTCCTTCTACCCCGGCAGGTCAATGATGTTCAAGAAGCTCTTCATGCATGTACATGTGTTTGCTCGATGTCAAAGATTACACATGTACCTAATGATAAGGACCACACATATCGCTCACAAAATATACACATACGACACCTAATCAAGGCATAATTCATTTCATCTGCACAACAGAAGGCCTTCCAGCAGCCACTGAAAAAGATGACTGTTGGGAGGGGGGGAAGAAATGAAACGACAAGATCAGGGCTGATTGTCAAGTTCATTGTGAAAGAGGCTTGGCCTCGTAGTGCTTGCACTAACATAAAACACAGCCTTGGCAAGAACTAAAGTTAAAGGTACCGTACAATGTGCCACCACTATCTCGTTGACAATGTTTCCCTGATGCGTTTTACATTTTTGTCATGCCTTGAACACTCCACAACCTGTTCTTCCAGTGCATCAGTGCAGAGGCTGTGACCAGACACAAACGACGGAGCGATTTCTGTCTTCAAATTTCTGTTCTTTGTCCTGTAGAAATCTGGAACCCAGGAGAAATAAAGGGATCCCAGTGCAGAGCAGCTCAAGGATAGAAACTGGTCAAGTTCACGTACATCTTGGCATTGGTAACCGTTTGCAGGAGACAAAATTACGACTGTTTACTCACTGCCGATGGGTGAAAGACACTTCCGCACCCTTGTGGTATGTGTACACGTAGTTCACTTTTGTGCATGCCCCAAATTCAAACTGGACTATCTGATTATCAATCATTTATTTATAGCAGCCACGAGATACGCACATGCACTGCTCGTCTAATTGTCAATTACTGATATTGGTTCTATCAGGTCTGTCTGCTCTGACAAGACCTACATGTACCTCAACGACAATTTGTAAAATCCTGAATTTTTATCTCCAACTTATTGCAATTATTACTCAAAAGCAAATACATGTACACTTCTGTTTTGTCGATAAAACCAAGGCAGGACCTACGTACCGGGTAAATATTGGACCATGACAAAAATAGGCTCATTTTTTTCTTTTCTGCCTCATGCGGCTTGTTAACCCAAACCTTCCCCAACCACACAGAATTAAACAGTAGTAAAGTGTTTAATTCTGTGGGGATAGGGCTGGTAGGCCCATAACAGCTGGCTTTTGCATTGGGTTTGGCATACCCCAGAAAAAAAAATCCAAGAGCCTGTGTGCACAAAGTCCCATATGGGTGTTTAACTTTGTGTGAATGGGGAAGGTTAGGTCCAGCAACCCTAGGGGGGGTTAGGGTTGATGATTCATCCACTGACTAATTCAATACCAAGAGAAGAGACGTGCCCTTAGGTGTTCGAATACATTCAATTTTGCAAAACAACTGTGATGTGATATAACAAATGAGTTTGTGCGAAACACAACTGATCCTGTGACAAAAGCAACAGGTACATGTACCACCAATTTCACACACCGAACCTGAAGCCAGACATATGAAAAGAACGGTGTAAAAACTTCAAATTGTTTACTGGAGATGGGATATATATGTAATATCCTTTTTGACTGCATTGAATCAGGTTTTCCGCTGATTACTTGACCAGTCCAAGGCTTATCATTCAATTCAACTTTGAATGTCAGCTGCACCTGCAAGAAAACCTCCCTGTGAAACAAATGAAAGCAATGTTTGACCCAGATTTTATACAACAAAGTGATTAAGCCCTCTTTTTTTAACCACAGGGACACTTTCCGCATCTGCAACTGCAATACCATTTTATTGGTGCACACCATCTTTTCGCCAGACTTCGCATCTGTCCACGGAGGTGCGATGTTTTTATTTCCGATAAAAATGCCCACAACAAACTAATCAGAGTTCAGATGATGAGCTACGTAACAGCTGTGGAAATACCAACACCTTACACTTACACTGGGCAGGCTTTGTTCTCATTTTGTTTCATTTTATCATGCTTCACGCTCAATGAAAAGTCCAGGGGATACAAAATTGTTGGCATTGCACAGTCAAATTCTCAGAGAGAAAGATTAAAAACACACGTGCTAGCATAGGTACCGATTTGCTCTGTAAATACTTTCATGGATTTAACAGATACATTCACACAAAGGCTACCAGGATGATTATCATATTAACCCGTTGCTATTTGCTTACAAGGAAAATAAAACTGTTTGTGGGAAAACATGCTTTTAATATAAACGTACATGTACATGTAGCTGTTTGGATTGCAGCTGACAAAACCTCGGTTTTTTTCAATAGGGGAAACGTTGTAGACTTGAGCAAGTCTTCACTGCTTGAATGGTGTGAACACATTTTGGTCTCACGTCCACACAAGAAATGCCATGCTTGTATATGGCTCTAAAGTGCTGCAAAAATGCAGAAATGAGCAAAAATGAGCAAACATGTACATGTACCTACCAGGACAAATGTACATACATGTACATGTATGAATGTGCATGTATGAAGTTGCATTTACCATGGTTTGGAGTAGTAAGTCAATCATTAAGATTGTGTATTTAGGTTACAGAAATTTACATGTAAAGCAGTGCCAAGTTCAATTTTGCTTATTGTTAATATTTGTTTGTTTGTTGCTGTTTCATTACACAAAATGTCTGTGCAAATTCCAAACTAACCTTTCTTAAAACAAACCACAACTTTTCAGAGATCAGTACTGATAAGACAGGCATGAAATTAAATCAAAGCTTTGTTCACAATGACTTCTGGTATGTTTCACTCCACAGAAAGTGTGGCTGGTCACTATGCACGCCAGTCAAACAATGGCAATTTGGATTCAGGCTTTTTGTAGCAGCCACGGTTAATGGGATACTTGACCATGTGAAGAGCATACACACACTGGTTGTTAGAAACGGGTCCACGTACATGTACACATGTACGCAGTCTTGAGATACAATGAAATCCATACAAAGCAGATTTCACATGGCATGCTCAATTCTTTTTGAGAGGAACTTACACATACTGGTACGTGTAAAAAGAGTCGGGCATAGTGGAACTGGTAGAAGCAAAGACGGATAACAAATACATTCACATGTATAAGGGTCACTCACCGACATCACGTTGTCACGTGACTTTCGACTCACCTGCTATATTGGCCATCAAGCCAACTCATGCGACGTACATGCACTGCATAGTCACATGCAATTTGGATCAATGTTCCAGAAGAAAATGACGAATCCCATGAACACATGAAAGAAATTATATATTCCGACACTGCTAATAACTTGTATGGTGTTCACAGGGCACGACATATTCAGAAGCGGGAGATACTGGGCTCCACTGATCCATATTTGTTACCCAAATCAACGTTTTGTGAGGTCATGCGTACAAGTACATGAAATGTTCTGGATTTATGGTATCTAGCTTTCTTCATCTACATGAACCAGTATACCTCATCCATTCGACATCGGTGTACACACATCAATCGCGGAAAAACTACAAGAGTTTGGAAGCCTATAAATACATTGTGGCCGGATTTGTGAAGGAACTGATGGTTTGCAAGAACGTCAGTAACACTTACGTGTATGTTGTTATGAGCAAAGTAAATTGTGTGAACACTGCAGAGTCGCGTGTGCGAGTCGGAGTTCAGAGTCGCGTCGAATTGCAGTGATCCATTTCACTCTTCGTTGCGGATTGGCAGGAATCCAATAGAAATGCAGATCTTTTGGAGTATCTTCACGATAGCGCCGCCCTATGGCACAGCAAACCTTCCCCATTTTACAGCGACAGCGTACAAACCATGCTTGCACAATTGCACGTGTATTTGCATGGGTTACCATGCATGCGCTTGACGGTCATTATGGCGGCATAAGCAAAACTACTGACTGAATGATGTCGTGTGAATTTCCCATCTGCAACCGGATCCCAGAAAATGAGTCTTTAATTGGCATGATTACGATGGCAGGGTTCGAAAGGAAATCTGAAATCCACATTCCAAGACTCCACCAGGACTTTCCAGTACCAAAATATGACAATTTCTGTGCCATTTGCAGAGAAAAGTTGGTTGGTATTTTGGAACTGGAAGACTGCAATAGCCATACCTTCAGACTGACAAGGATATACATACATGTACCGGTAAATTCATCATAATTATGTTATAACACCGAAAGCAGCCCCTCAAAAATTACCCTTGCATGATTTTCCATGACTTTTCCATGACTTTTTCCCCTCTATCAACAGGATTCCGGGACACCCTGTTCGTTTTTTTATTTTCCCCCCTCATTTTCCATGAACTTTGCATGACTTTCAAAGACAACTTTCTTTCCAGGATTTTTTAAAAGGATTTTCCATGACCATGGGAACCTGGGATGGGTCACACATGCATGGCACAAGTGGAGGGCGGGCACTCGGTAATCGGTGGGTTGTGCATGTCGGTCATTCTATTAATTTGGGGTCCATTTTTTCCCATCCCCGTTACATCTGACACTTAATGGCAATCTGGCATTTTTAATGTTTAAAACTCCTTGTTTGATTTCCATTGATTAAGTACTGCAGATTACCTGCAAAACAGATAAAAAACAGTTTGAAATCAGTTTTAGTGATACAGTAAATCCCTTGTCAAACTTGTCAGATGGTATACATGTCAGAGGTAACAGGGACAGAAAACATGTCACACTTTGGACCTATAAGTTAGAGAATGACCCATATACGTTGCAACATTTGTTATGGCACATGTAAATGTTGGTTCAGACCACTACCTGGAATGTGCAGCCTGCTTTCTTGTTGGCTTGAAGGATGCACTGTATGCTCTCCGCCGCCTTGACCGGTACCGTGCTTTTCTCCACGACAATCTTGTTGCCCGTCGTGGTGATTCTGGCGATTCGTCTGGCTGCGGCCTCTATGTATTTGAGATCTGGTGCTCGTCCCTGTGCGTGGATAGGATTTGTGGAATCCAAGAAGCAATCAAATCAAGACGGTAACCACACATGATATGGGTAAAGACAGGATAGGCCATTTCTGTACAGTGTACTGGCAAATAAGGTGTCTTCAGAAAATCATGCTACCCGTAGATGTAACTTGACAACTTTAAAGGTGCTTATTACAACATCTATTAAGATCCAGCATAGTTCAAGTAGTCATTTGAAAAAAAATAATAAAATCCAAAGTGTGCTTATTTTCAGAGTATGATCTAGTCAATTTCATTATGCATTTTCTCTGTATTTAGACTTAATGAAATGTCAGAGACCATTTAACCCCTTGACAACAGGAACTTTTTTCTGAAAGCCGACTCCGAGAATTCCAGCCTCGCTTGGCCACGAAGGCCACCTGCAAAACCGCAAATTCTCGGTTTGTGGCCCTGCGTGCTCTGCACGCTTTGAATTACATGGTGAAAAGGCTCATTGTTCTGCAGCATGCAGCTCTACTCACGCTTCCACATTCCTGTTGGGACTATTGTGAAGCTGCTAATTATGCTGCAAAATCGGTCTTTTCATTTCTGGGCTACACACAAAGGCCAATCACCATATATACAAGAGCAAGGGTCTGCCTTCTTTCACCGTTTTCACTCGAGCGTGGACTGAGAATAATAGCTGAAAAGCGGGCTGACGATCTCAATTTTTACGGCGGCTTTTACCCTCATCCGTCGCGAAGTGGTTCAAGAACTAATAACAGATGTAAAATTTACCTTGGTAGGGGCTACATATTTGGAGCTACATTATAAACAAGTATGAAAAGTTTACAGGTAAGCAGTAGTCAATCAAAAAATCAAAGACCCATATCTCAAACACATTGGGATCCAAACTACAGGGAAATAAATCAGTTCTGAGGGTTGATTTGTACAGGCCAATATTGTCCAAAATATCAACTGAGTCTGTGAGAGTTCAGAGAAAATGTATGGTGATATTTCACAGCGCAATCAGTGGTTTTTCCCCATAAATGGACTGGTAAGAAAAATTTAAGTACAATAACAATTCAAGCTTCCTCTTCTCAAATTCAGGTTTCCCTGACAAGGAAGCAGCCTCCCTCGAGTTTCCTCATTCCCAAATCATGCGTGTGTACGCTTCATAATTGAATGGAAATCAAACGTTCACTCCATCGGTGCTTTCCATTACACAGTTAGCTAATTTATCAAGTACTGGCATGACTGATGCCTCTTCCTTCAGGGGAAAAAAAAACAGGAGCAACTTTTACCTTGCCTATGCCAAACGTCTTTGTCGGCGTGTTGACCGAAATGAAGATGAGATCTGCCTCTTGAATGGCACTGTCAATGTCAGTTGAGAAGAAGAGGTTGGTGCCTCGACACTTCTGCACAACTTCCTTCAGCGTGGGCTGGAGAATTACAATTCAATTTGACGGGCTCTGTAAATATTCTAAAGCAAGACTTACATGCACATGCACGTTTCTAGTCCTCATCTTTTTTTAGTTTTATGCATTAACTATCAATGAAACAAACTATCACAAGAAAACCATAGAAAGATGCACAGCAATTGAATGTAACAGTGAAATGTTGGCTGTGTCTCATTGTTTAACCCGGTAGTATGTACATACACAAATATACACGTAAGCAGGGTACTGGTACATGTAAGTAAGGTTGGTGCTTTTCAAGCGTAATGCTCGGCACTCCAAAATTTGCTACACTGTATGTTGTATTCATTGCACTATACACATACATGTAGTTATATTTGGCAAGCAAACCAAGTGACAGGGAATACTGTGGAACTGCAAGGCGCCATGACCAACTGTTTTTTGGTTTTTGTTTTTTTTCCAGTGAACTTGCCAAGGCTCAGACTCTACTGTTGACTTGTTGCCATTCTCGGTGCTGCATTTCGTTGCACTTGGCACGGTCATGATAGAAGGCAGAGTATGCCTGTACAGTACTGCACATTGAAGAATCGCATGCAAACTTCCCAGTACACTGCACACCCAGCACCCACGTACAGTGTACTTGTATGAGCATACAGTCAAACCCTAACAAGAGCGCTGTTAACACAACATTCTACTCAGATGTGTTTCAATAGAAAAGTTAGAGGTCCCAATCCTTTGCTCTCAATTGTCATTACTGATGATGCAAGGTTCCTGTTACAACAATGTCATCTACACAGTCCCCAAAAAACCTCTTATTAAAAATACATGTACAGTACACGTGTACATGTATGTGCTTGAACATGTAACAAAAGCAACCAGTACGTACACAAATGTACATGTACCGTACATGCACAAGTACACGTATCTACATGTACGTACATGTACACTCTGCACCAAAGAAACCTCCGTAAAAACTCCTTGTGTAGAAGTTGAGAAGATATTTATCCAAAATCCCAGAAACTTTCAACCGCGTTACACAAACAAAGACCAATCGGAAGTCCAAGAAAAAGTTAATGGAGTCCAACCAACAAAGTCCCAGTGCCGCATTTTACAGTGTAGGCACAGAGGACAACAGTACCTCGTATATTGGAAGATTGAAATCTTTGGAGTTCCACTGGTCAACACGCTCCTGACTCAGGTCAACCACGGTGACCTTGATGTCTGGGCACTTGTAGGCAATTACTGAGCAGGTGGGCCCACCGACGTACCCTGCTCCAATACAGCAGACTTTCTGTACGCCCATCTTCTGGCTGCGTTCAGTAAAATGTTCAGTTCAATAAAACAGTTCAGTGGATCTGTCCAAGAGAAAGAAAAATATGTACCGGTATCAGTGGTTGACAGGATTGGATTTATGGCACAGCAACTGCACCGTATATACACGCAGTGCATTAAAATGCATGGAGTTCACGGGCCATGAGCACGTTTCTGGGTCTCTGAGAATAAATATCGGTACGTACATGCTCATCTTCAGAGCTGACGTAAGTTGAACTAGGCGAAGCATTTCTGAGAAAATGTTTCAATGGCCTCTACAGTTTGCTCTGGGAGACTGGAAAGATCCGCAAAGATCCGCGAGGAAAAAAGAAATTTGCACCATTTTCTGTCACTCGTGTTGCAAGTTCATTTCCAACTGTTCCTGTGCTATGTAACTTACCCTATCTAGTCAAGTTCAATTTATAATTAGATACATGTACATGTACCAACTGGAACACGAGATGGATTATTGAATTAAGTCCAATTTGAAAGCATATACTTAGATGAACATGTAATGCACTTTTGTTGATGATATCCACCAAAGTTCCCACAATTTAGCGTAAAGTTTCCTTACAAGAGAATACTTCCCTGATTAAGGATACACAATGCATCATAAAAGTCGAACCCCAGTTACCAGAATGTGATTGAGTCTTGCATCTGAGGAACCTTCCCAGTGAACTAACTCAGCCCCCTGAGGTGTGTGAAAAACCTGTTCTTTTAATTGAAGGATTGGGAACTTAAGGCTCAAGCCCCCCCCCCGTGTGCGAGGGATAAAAACAACTGACTTATAATTAGAGGATTCATGATAGTCAAGACTAACCCACCCGCACAATAGGGCAATAATATTTGATGCCTTGGGAAAAAATCCAGGATTATGGCCTTGTGCACACATGTACACACTTCCCTGGGATACGCCCATACATGTACTTCCAAACAATAATGGAGATACAATGCACTTGTTCACACGTATGTACATGTAAGTAGATCGACGAGTACAATAAAGAAACAAAAAAAGAAACAAAGATACCGGTAACTCCTCTTGAAAATAAAAATTGGAAATAAAAATGTATAATGCTTGTGAAAATACATGTAAACACTCAGTATACTTGTACAGTGTAGGCGCTATAAAGAATGAAAGTACACAGTATTGGTACCAGTACCAGTGCATGTACATGTAGCTGGTCGGGAAAATAAACAATCAATTACCGGTTGATGTACATGTACCTCCACACAATAGACCAGTAACATTTATACACATTCGTTCCCTACTCACATTATTTTTTGCCGGTTTTGTTTCTTGCTGCTGCTTTATTGCAGTTAGTAGTACTATACCGGGTACTGTACATGTTGATACATTGCATTTTAGAGGCCGTAGCTGCATGTACATGTAGTGCTAACCTTTGAGATGGCCAGATTTGCGACTGTGCTACACAGAACCATCTCGTCAAACTTCGGCATTTCAACAGTCACTGCATATGAGTGAGGTTCCATAGTTTGGCTAATGAGACTTAGCACTTACTGGTACATGTACATGTGCGGTACATGTATGCTCCCTGATACACGTCAAGTCCCAGTCACCTCCAGACATTATACATGTAAATTATTAAACAGTGTCCTGTTTTTTGTTTTTTTCTTGAGAGATGGCTGCATGTTTCTGCTGTGGCTGCATACCAGTAATATCTACAATGACCTAAACCTTACATGTACATTCAGTTTTTTATACATGGGGATTCTGTTTATTACAATTGGAATGCATGCTTACCAGCATAACCTTTACAGGCCTGTCTTTTACAAGATACAACGTACCGTACATGTACAGTACAATGACGTTCGAGTAATCTAAAAGCTGTCTTTGAGAGTGTGTGAGTGTAAGCTTTGTAGCCATCTCAAGTTAGGCGTACACTTGTATTCGACTGGAGTCAGAAACTTGGCAAACAAACATTGCCAGAATGGGCTTTTGAGGCATCCCTCAGGGCATTGTGTACTCTGTCCTGGACAGAGACATTGTCATTCATAGAGAAAAGCTTCATTCAACATGTTCAATGCACCAGCGGATCACCTCAAAATGCCTCACCACCACACCCACATCTCATTACAATATGAATCTCACCATCCTACTAGACAAAAATATGTGCGTACACTGTACCCATGTACTGTACATCTTGTTGCAAGTACCGTACATGTACAAGTTTCCTGCCTCAACTGAGTTTTGCTTCTTGTTCAGGGTCGTACACTGGAACGCCAGTGAGATTTTGTGATGGAAACAAGACGTCTGATGGATTCTTTTGTTAGTCACTGATACACCAGCAGTGCTGGGTGAATGTACATGTACATGTACATGTATGTGTATGTACATATATGTGGTTGGGCATTACTGAACTTGTGCTTCAATAGCAACTTCACGCACTAGTGTGTTCACTCAGCACATGGAGGAAGGAACACACTACCCGAGTACTATCAATTTAGTTGCATGTACATGTTATACACATGTACAGTACATGGGATTGTATGGGGCGGCACATGACAGGGATAGCCATAATCAGGTCCTGTCTCCTGCGACTACAGCTTTGAATTTTGATCAAAAGAGGCAGTGGTGAAAAGCCATAGCCAGTGGGCGATACTTGTACATGCCGTAGTCTTGCAAGGAGAGGCCGCACCGCGTGTTGCCAACACCAACTTGATTGATTTTTAAGTTTGTGAATCTGGCTTGAAAATTTTTTTTTAAGTTAATGACCATCAGGATGACCTTTAGTTCAACACTTCTTGTGAATACCCCGGTTGCAAGAATATGATTTTCTTTACAGGAAGTGAAGAAATAACCAAATTTTCACTGCTCGAAAATGGCTATTGCATATTTGATTACACGTACATAATAATACCAATAATTTAGAATTTACAGTGCGCCCTTATTAACCTTGTTAATATGAGTATTCATTTTAAGTTCAGAGTCAAACCATGATCCCAAATTTCTGACATACGTGGCTGGATAGACAGCAGATTCTCCCACAGTGATGTTAGCAATCTTCAATTTTTGCAACTGTATGTGATTATCAACTAACAAAATAATCCATCAGATGTCTCATTTCCATAACAAAAGCTCACTGGCATTCTAGTGTACATGTACAACCCTGAACAATAAGACAAATGAAGAATGAAACAAAGTATGTAACTTACCCCAATAGCCATGATAGCTAGTCATCAAAACATGTGAGTACATGTACATGTATGTTTACATACCGCTAGGCCTATACACAGTTTCAGTCAGCAACTGGATAGAGAAAACTTTCAAACGTTGAATATGCTAAGATTTTCTTCCTTGAGGGGCCTTTCCTGAAAGCACAACACCACAACCTTCACAATATAACAATGCACTGACCGTTCACAGTAAGATGTTATTCCATCCCACCCAATACAAAAGTGAGCTGTCCTAGGGCCTGTGTGACAAATACCGGCTCCATGTACATTGTGCAACATAACAAATCCTCATTGACACAATGAATGCCACTGATTACCTGTAGGCATTTGAAGCATTTCCATGATCTGCATTTAAAGCAGTTGTTTGCTCATTGGGTGGGGGCTGAGGGGTGAGGGCTATGGGGGCGGGGGCTGTGGGGTTGGGGG